GTCCTTGTAATGAGTCATTTTCTCATTCCCATGACTTGCGTTGCATTGGTGAGCTCCTACCAAAAGGTTGGTACAACCCCACACATCTACGTCAATCCCCCACCAATTCAAACTTCAAACCTCTCATCTTTGTCTCCGTCTACTCATATGTCCTTGTAATGAGTCATTTTCTCATTCCCATGACTTGCGTTGCATTGGTGAGCTCCTACCAAAAGGTTGGTACAACCCCACACATCTACGTCAATCCCCCACCAATTCAAACTTCAAACCTCTCATCTTTGTCTCCGTCTACTCGTCCTTGTAATGAGTCATTTTCTCATTCCCATGACTTGCGTTGCATTGGTGAGCTCCTACCAAAAGGTTGGTACAACCCCACACATCTACGTCAATCCCCCACCAATTCAAACTTCAAACCTCTCATCTTTGTCTCCGTCTACTCATATAAAGACTTCCTCAACAAAAACTAGTACCAAAAAACAATAAACGCACCAACCCCTTTGAGTTTATGCACGTCCCACTCTCTCTCTCTCGTCCCTTTTTTTAATCCTAACCACCTCACGGCACTTCCTCAAATCTTTAATCCTTTTCATTAATGAATCAAATTACAATTAAAAAAACCTAACCGAAAAAAGAAGCTCTAAAACAAAAAGGATAATCCAAAAAAAAATTTATGGACAACATGTTTCAGTTGTTGAGTCATTGTCATCACAAATGTGGAGCCACAAGCACAATTCACGCATGTGAATCCTAAGGTCAGATCAGATCCAACGATCGGGAGGTCGATGATCGAGAGATCGATGATGGGCCTGAAATCGCAACCAAGGCCCGTTCAAGGCCATTTACAATCTCGGTCATTGTGGGCCTATCTCGGCCCTCTGGGCTAACACAATCCGCGGCCAAGTAGCCCACATAGGCGACTGCCTCAATTTCACTCGGCGTAGGAGGAGCGATCCGAGGGTCGAGCACTCTGTGCAGGTCATCGGCTACAATGTGTGGTACGGCGAATTCAACAACATTCTTCGGGGTACCGCTCTCTTCGTACCGTTGGATCACTTTACAACCGGACAATATCTCCAATAACACTACTCCGAAGCTGTAAACATCGCTCTTCGCAGTCAGACGCTGAAGCCTGTAATACTCTGGATCCATGTAGCCCACCGTGCCTGCCGCACTAGGAGACACGTTAGGCCCATTAGGCCCATTAGGCCTGTTGTCGTTATGGGATGCAATCGGGTGCATCAACGAGAGCCCAAAATCCGCGACCTTCGCAGTCCACACCTCATCCAACAGAATGTTGGACGACTTGATGTCCCGGTGAATAATCGGCGGAACAGCGTACGTATGCAAATACTCGATCCCTCGGGCCGCATCGAGCGCGACCCGAATCCGAGCGGCCCACGAGCCCAACGGTAGGCCTACTTGCTGGTCGGATTTGTGTAAGAGATCATGCAGAGTCCCATTAGCCATGAACTCATAGACAAGTATCCGTTCGGATCCTTGCTTGTAATATCCGAACAATCTGACCAAATTCTTGTGGTTCACTCTTGAGAGCAGCCCGAGCTCCGCCCAAAACGCAAACTCCTTATCCTGTCTCCGATTATCGCCTGTGTTCAGTGTGCGCCCCCGGGATGTGGAGGCTGAGGACGATGGCTCGGTCGGATCGTTTTATCGCGACAGTGCGTCCATCGTCGAGTTTTGCACGGTAACGCAACCGAACTGCAGACCCGATCTTGTGCTCGTTGGAGAAACCGTCCGTGATTGCCAACAAGAGCTTGATCGGGAACTCTTCGATTGTAGTACTATGACCATGTTCGCTTCGGGCGTGGCAGAACAGTCGGCGCGCCCAATGTCGTCGTAGCCGGTCCGTATCGTGAATCCGACCCTTGATCCTTCGGAATTTGAGGAATAGAAATGAAGCCACCGCGATTAATCCGACGACGAATCCGACCGAGCCGAGGATAATGAAGATCAGCCTTCTCCTCTTGCTAGCACTGCTGCTCGGTAAGTAGACCATCGGAGTCGGCGTCGAATTCTGATTCGGGTTCGTGTTTATCTTAAGCGGGCAGGGGCGACAAACCACATCTCCGTTACCGCAAATGTTACCCGTACCCGCCAACGGCAAGCACCGGCATGTCGCGGCGCAAGTGCCCGGCAAAACCTCCTTAAAAACAACATGATTCCCCTGAAAATGTTCACTCCCCCAGCAAACCAGAGCGTAATTCTCCATCAAAACTCCACAAAATGCGTCCCCTCTCGCTTGAATTGACACAAACGGAGCTGTGGCCAAATCTTCAGGCAACTTCAAATTCTCCCCCCAGCAATGAACTGTCCCATTGCTATCAAGAACACAAGTCCTCTCATTCCCCAACGCCATCAAATCGATACTGGTCGTCAGATTCTTCGCGATCGCCGGTGCTCCGAGACCCCAGCAGACTAGTCCCGACTCCGTCGAGATCGCACAGGCATGGCTCTTTCCTGCGGCAATCGCGACGAAGGTCCCGTTAGGCTCGTTGCCGACGACACCAACATCGCCTCCACCAGAGAAGCACTTGACTGCCCCTGTACCCAAAATCGAACAGACGAAACCCTCTCCAACGGCGACCTCAGCAGGCTTGAGGTTAGCCGGAACATCAAGCTGCGGCCACCTGCAGCAGTCGAGGAGCCGGAGCCGCCCGTCAAACCGCAGACGTGCGAATCGCCGGCGGACAGCGAGCTCAGAGCGGGTCCGATGTAGACCCGTTGGCGTCGGAGGGACTTGTTGCGGGCGCTGTGGGCGAAGTCCCACCATTTCATCGTCGAGATCTTCGACGGAGAAGGGTGAGTGAGGGCGCATAGGAAGCCGTCGCCCGCGGCGATGGCGGAAGGGGGTCGACGCCGGCGGGGTAGTGGTGGGTTGTGGCATTGGGAAGCTCGTGCAGTTGAGGTCAAATTTGCTGGGGGACGTTGGTGAGGGGAGGAGAGCGCAGACTAGCGTTTTGTTGAAGATGTGAGAGATCGCAACAGTCGAGAGAGGGGAGCAAGAGATTGAGGGGATGGAGGTGGTGATGATGATGAGGATGAAGAGGAGAGGAGGGGTTATGTTTGGTGGAGACATTGGAATGAAGAAGGGAGGTTGGTTGAGGAGTTGGAGAATATCATTGTAGGGGAGGAGAGAGAAAGAAGAGAGAGAGAGAGAGAGAGAGAGAGAGAGAGAGAGAGAGGAGTAGAAGGAAGTTTATGGATTTGATCCGCTGTGGTGTTGATGGTTATTGGGTTTGGTTTCGGGGTGGAAACTTGAAAGAGGAATACGCGGGTTTGGAGACTGACCAAGGACCTAGTCCCCTTTGAACGAATATGGAGGCCAAAGTTTTGTCTTTTAAAGTTTTTTGGGTTTTACTCATCCACTACTGACTGGAAGCTCAAGCCAAGGGGGATAGAGGGCGGGTGTGGTCCCTACTGGTAACTATTCCACCAACTTGCCCGCGAACACACATCTCCTCAGATAATAGACTACTTAGTAGTGTTGGTTACACAGAGTCTCATCATGTCCTTGTAATGAGTCATTTTCTATTTCCCATGACTTGCGTTGCATTGGTGAGCTCCTACCAAAAGGTTGGTACAACCCCACACATCTACGTCAATCCCCCACCAATTCAAACTTCAAACTCTTCATCTTTGTCTCCGTCTACTCATATAAAGACTTCCTCACAAAAACTAGTACCAAAAAACAATAAACGCACCAACCCCTTTGAGTTTATGCACGTCCCACTCTCTCTCTCTCGTCCCTTTTTTTAATCCTAACAACCTCACGGCACTTCCTCAAATCTTTAATCCTTTCATTAATGAATCAAATTACAATTAAAAAAACCTAACCGAAAAAGAAGCTCTAAAACAAAAAGGATAATCCAAAAAAAATTTATGGACAACATGTTTTCAGTTGTTGAGTCATTGTCATCACAAATTGTGGAGCCACAAGCACAATTCACGCATGTGAATCCTAAGGTAGATCAATCCAACGATCGGAGTGTCGATGATCGAGAGATCGATGATGGGCCTGAAATCGCAACCAAGGCCGTTCAAGGCCATTTACAATCTCGGTCATTGTGGCCTATCTCGGCCCTCTGGGCTAACACAATCCGCGCCAAGTAGCCCACATAGGCGACTGCCTCAATTTCACTCGGCGTAGGAGGAGGCGATCCGAGGGTCGAGCACTCTGTGCAGGTCATCGCGCTACAATGTGTGGTACGGCGAATTCAACAACATTCTTCGGGCTGGGGTACCGCTCTCTTCGTACCGTTGGATCACTTTACAACCGGACAATATCTCCAATAACACTACTCCGAAGCTGTAAACATCGCTCTTCGCAGTCAGACGCTGAAGCCTGTAATACTCTGGATCCATGTAGCCCACCGTGCCTGCCGCACTAGGAGACACGTTAGGCCCATTAGGCCCATTAGGCCTGTTGTCGTTATGGGATGCAATCGGGTGCATCAACGAGAGCGCCAAAATCCGCGACCTTCGCAGTCCACACCTCATCCAACAGAATGTTGGACGACTTGATGTCCCGGTGAATAATCGGCGGAACAGCGTACGTATGCAAATACTCGATCCCTCGGCGCGCATCGAGCGCCGACCCGATCGACGGCCACGAGCCAACGGTAGGCCTACTTGCTGGTCGGATTTGTGTAAGAGATCATGCAGAGTCCCATTAGCCATGAACTCATAGACAAGTATCCGTTTCGGATCCTTGCTTGTAATATCGAACAATCTGACCAAATTCTTGTGGTTCACTCTTGAGAGCAGCCGAGCTCTCCCAAAACGCAAACTCCTTATCCTGTCTCGATTATCGCCTGTGTTCAGTGTGCGCCCCCGGGATGTGGAGGCTGAGGACGATGGCTCGGATCGTTTATCGCGACAGTGCGTCCATCGTCGAGTTTTGCACGGTACACGCAACGAAACTGCAGACCCGATCTTGTGCTCGTTGGAGAACCGTCCGTGATTGCCAACAAGAGCTTGATCGGGAACTCTTCGATTGTAGTACTATGACCATGTTCGCTTCGGGCGTGGCAGAACAGTCCGGCCGCCAATGTCGGTCGACGTAGCCGGTCGTATCGTGAATCCGACCCTTGATCCTCGGAATTTGAGAATAGAAATGAAGCCACCGCGATTAATCGACGACGAATCCGACCGGAGCGAGGATAATGAAGATCAGCCTTCTCCTCTTGCTAGCACTGCTGCTCGGTAAGTAGACCATCGGAGTCGGCTCGAATTTCTGATTCGGGTTCGTGTTTATCTTAAGCGGGCAGGGGCGACAAACCACATCTCCGTTACCGCAAATGTTACCCGTACCCGCCCAACGGCAAGCACCGGCATGTCGCGGCGCAAGTGCCCGGCAAAACCTCCTTAAAAACAACATGATTCCCCTGAAAATGTTCACTCCCCCAGCAAACCAGAGCGTAATTCTCCATCAAAACTCCACAAAATGCGTCCCCTCTCGCTTGAATTGACACAAACGGAGCTGTGGCCAAATCTTCAGGCAACTTCAAATTCTCCCCCCAGCAATGAACTGTCCGCATTGCTATCAAGAACACAAGTCCTTTCATTCCCCAACGCCATCAAATCGATACTGGTCGTCAGATTCTTCGCGATCGCCGGTGCTCGAGACCCAGCAGACTAGTCCCGACTCCGTCGAGATCGCACAGGCATGGCTCTTTCCTGCGGCAATCGCGACGAAGGTCCCGTTAGGCTCGTTGCGACGACACCAACATCGCCTCCACCAGAGAAGCACTTGACTGCCCCTGTACCCAAAATCGAACAGACAAACCCTCTCCAACGGCGACCTCAGCAGGCTTGAGGTTAGCTCGGAACATCAAGCTGCGGCCACCTCCAGCAGTCGAGGGAGCCGGAGCCGCCCGTCAAACCGCAGACGTGCGAATCGCCGGCGGACAGCGAGCTCAGAGCGGGTCCGATGTAGAACCGCCTTGGCGTCCGGAGGGACTTGTTGCGGGCGCTGTGGCGAAGTCCACCATTTCATCGTCGAGATCTTCGACGGAGAAGGGTGAGGTGAGGGCGCATAGGAAGCCGTCGCCCGCGGCGATGCGGAGTAGGGGTCGACGCCGGCGGGGGTAGTGGTGGGTTGTGCATTGGGAAGCTCGTGCAGTTGAGGTCAAATTTGCTGGGGGACGTTGGTGAGGGAGGAGAGCGCAGACTAGCGTTTGTTGAAGATGTTGAGAGATCGCAACAGTCGAGGAGGGGAGCAAGAGATTGAGGGGATGGAGGTGGTGATGATGATGAGGATGAAGAGGAGAGGAAGGTATGTTTGGTGGAGACATTGGAATGAAGAAGGGAGGTTGGTTGAGGAGTTGGAAATATCATTGTAGGGGAGGAGAGAGAAAGTAGAGAGGAGAGAGAGAGAGAGAGAGAGAGAGAGAGAGGAGAGAGAGAAGGAGAGAGAGAGAGAGGAGTAGAAGGAAGTTTATGGATTTGATCCGCTGTGGTGTTGATGGTTATTGGTTTGTGTTTCGGGGTGGAAACTTGAAAGAGGAATACGCGCGGTTTGGAGACTGACCAAGCGACCTTAGTCCCCTTTGAACGAATATGGAGCCAAAGTTTTGTCTTTTAAAGTTTTTTGGGTTTTACTCATCACTACTGACTGGAAGCTCAAGCCAAGGGGATAGAGGGCGGGTGTGTCCCTACTGGTAACTATTCCACCAACTTGCCCGCGAACACACATCTCCTCAGATAGGCATGCATGCAACCCCACCCCCCCCCATCTATCTATCACATGAGCGGTTCAGACGAACCGCTCGCATGCGGACGCTGGACTTCTAAGAGAAAGAGATGCGCACTCCTTACCCACAAACCCATTTTGGTTTTGCCGTGTATGTACTCATTGTAATGTACTGAAATACGTACGATTCATAATGGTCCAGTAGTATTTATAATACGTGTTGAGGACGTGAATACATTGAAGTCATTAGCTACGTAGTAGTAGGGATTCTATTAGAACTACGTCCCTGAATGAGCATGATAATTTGAAGTATACATGTAGGCATCGAAAATTGCCTATAGGTCTCCGTGAGCAGCTCAATGCTAAGAGGAGATGAGGAACGTCACTATCCAAGTCACAGAAGCTCGATTAACGTCGATGAACGCTTGAAGTGAATCGACGAACTACGTGAAGCAACGGAGTTTCAGAATAACAAGGATACGAATTGATCGGGAGCCCCGCGTCGCTTACAAAAGACGAAATACCCTTCGTGTCTCATTTATTCCACAGATGATCTAATCATTGGAGCTTATAGAACTCCTCGTCGGCTTTCCAACGCACTTTGAATCGCCCAAATCCGAGTTCGGATGAAGAAGTTACGGCGGAAACGGACGAATATGCAAAACAGAACGTCTCAGCCTGAGTTGAGACACCACAAGGTGTCTCGGCACAAACGAGACACCCCAAGGTGTCTCAGCCCAAGTTGAGACACCCGTCTCGGCCCTGGCCGAGACACCCAAGGGTGTCTCGGCCCAAGTTGAGACACCTAACGGTGTCTCCAGCCCGAATTTTCCCCCGTGCCTATAAATACAAGCCTCAAAGCCTCATTTTTTCGGATCTGGAATTCTCGAGCGTTGACGAAGCCCTGCCGAATTGAGGAGTGAAGAGCCACGAATTTCAGAGAGGAGGAGGAGACTTCAGTGGATTCTTCGTCATAAAGAAGAGGAGTTCGTCAGATCTGCAACCCGGTTCGTCCCTTAAGATTACCCCGTTGCGGTAATCTTAAGAAGAACAATTATCTCGCTGTTGCCGAGATAAGCGCTACGGTTTCTTGATTCCTTCGCGAATCAACGAAGCTCTGCCCAATTTTTCAGCAATCAGATCTGATCGACGGTGGTCCACAGATATCAACGTCCCCGTCACAGGCCAAGATCCCACGCAAGCAGAAGACCGATAAACGATCTCTGCGTTTGTTTGAAGAGAATTGTATTTTTTTTGTTTTCATTGTTTAAAGGTCTTATAAAAAGACTAATTTTTGTTTTCGTTGTAAACGTCTGAAGTTTGTAATGAACACCGCAATGAAACAATTAATTTTCTCCGCAAACAAGCTGGCGACCACAATGGGAGCCAACAGCCTCGCTGCCGAAGCTGTCGTGCCGCAGCCGACGATCAAGATCCTAGTGTTCGAAGAGGTCGAGTACGAATTCGACCAGCAGAAATTTGAAGAGTACATCTCCTCCTTCTCCTCCAGATCCGCTCATCCTCATAAGCGCAGGAAGATCTCCTCCTCCCAGAAGATCCGCCGGTCTCCAGATCTAAAGACCCGAGAAGTCGATCTCCACGTAGTCGATGCTACGGTTGCACCTTGTAACGATCCGCCGACATCCGATGAGACCAGATCTGCAGATTTGAACTCCTTCGCGTTCAAGGAGCTGACTGCTGAAGATGCGCCAACTCTATCAAAGAGAGCACGTCAAAAGAAACGCCAACGCCTCGCGCGCCAATTCGCCAAGGCTTTGGATCAGGTGGATGGACTCCGTTACCAAGCAGATCTGGAGTTCAGAAAGTGCCAAGTGACAAATCTATCGCCAAGACCAGCATCAGGATCCTCCTCCCGACCTCCGATTAACGAATGGGTTCGTGTCAAACGAACCCACTCTACTCTTGAGGAGAGAATCCAGAAGCGCCGCGCCTTGCTTGCGCATGCACAGATCCTTGTGCGAAAAGCACATGAAATGCAAAAGGACGAGGCAGTTAAGAGATCGCCGAGATCCAAACAAGTTTGGATGCTAAAAGCCAAATCGGCGCCTAAGGCAAAAGCAGGCGACGTTGCTCTCCGGCCTTCGTCAACTCCATATCCTGCTCCCGTACTTCCGGTGAAGTCCTATGACAGCATGGGTCTCTCCAAATCTAGAATCCCATTGAAGGGTCGCATTGGCTCTCTACCCGAGGATCGAGGCAAAGCACCTATTAAGAAACGCTTGGGACCATTGAAGGAACCCCGAGCAAACATCCAGACTGGGGGTAGTACGCGACCTCCTAACAAGTTGACTTCTGCAAAACGATTGGGGTGCGTGCAAAAAACCAAGAGCCCGTTAAGATTTCACCCTCACAAAAGTATGATTCCAAACGTGTGACTCCTGCAGACGCCAACAAGGCGATGCTTACTTAGATGAAAACGCGTCAGACAGAAGAATGTGTTATACCTGAGAATTCATGTAAACAGCCGATAGGTTGCTCTGACTGCAACGTCGATGAGTTGTACTATCGGGCTGGGGGTACGAATAAATCTCGAAAAAGAAGTATTCGGAAGCGGACTCTCACTGTCAGTGTACCAAAATTATCAGGGCAGTATTATCAACGTGTAGCTGCCCCAAGACCACTCCGCAGAGGGTCTCGATATTTGAGAGGATCTCCAACGGAAAGGCTAAGTCCAATCAAAAGCGTCTCCGTAAGAAACGATCGGTCGTTCAAGGTGACGAACCCCCAGAGGTTACCATCAATATGGTTGATAAGGGAAAATCGATTCGACCTTCTAGCTCTGATCCGCTTGTATCGCATCGTCTAACCCGGTTACGATCAGGAACTATTAGACAAAGGGATTATCAAAGAATGCAGAGAGGGTTATCCTCGGATGATGAAGAATCAGATGCTAACTCGGCAATCGATTCTGATAATACGGTATCCAGTCCAGGACAATCCCGTGAAGTGTTATGATTAACACCGAGGAAGTAACCAAAATGGTTGAGGAAGCCTTGGCCAAGCAGAAAGAGGCATTCAAGATTGAGATGGAAATGGCTATGCAGGAGATGAGACAAATGCACGACCAACAAATCCGAGCTTTGTCGAATCAGCTAGGTGAATCCAGCCGTCGCAGCACTGCTAACCAAGCAGGTAGCGATTCAGATGTGGATAAACACAACGCTGAGGGTGGCCCCACTAAAAATAACGATGCTGAGGGTGGACCCACCAATGATGATAACACTAGGGGTGGCCGTATTATTCCTCTCGAAAATTGTCCAAAACAGGATATAGATGAGGCCGAAAAGATGAAGGATCTCGAGAGCAAAATTGACGCCCTGATGTCTGCTCGAGAGGTGAAGAAGACTGGGATTCCGTGTCCTTACCCAAGAGAATGGGAATCGATCCCGTATCCGGCGAAGTTCAACCTGGTCAACTTCACGCCGTTCGACGGGAAGGGGTCGCCCTCTCAGCACCTGATCTACTTCAGGTCCCATTTGGGTATGATCTCCGGCAATGAAGCCTTGATGGTTCGGTCATTCGTTGGCACCCTTCGCGGGCCTGCTTTCGATTGGTACCGCCGTCTCAAGCCCGGAAGCATCAATAGCTGGGAAGACCTGGAGAGCATGTTCCTCGCTCATTTCTTCGATGATGACGCCGAAGTGTCGATCAGGACACTCTTCGATGAGAAACAAAAAGACGGAGAGTCGGTGGTCACAACAGCAATCCCGAAGGCAGCAAAAGACTTCGGAACCGAAACTCCAAAAAGAGTATTCCTTCAAGGACGAAGACGTTCCAGCCATCTTCGAGACCCTTCTTGAAAACAACAAGATCAAGCTGCCACCCATCACGAATCAGGAGGAAGCTGACAATACTGCGGATCCAAGGTACTGTGCGTACCACAGGAGGGTCCTTCATCCCACCAAGGATTGATTTACTTTAAAGAATAGCATTCAGACCTTGGTTGAAGCCGGCGTCATAACGCTGGGATAAGCCAAATGAGAACGGCAATACTCCGACAAGTATAAGAGTATAAACTGCTTCTCAATACTCCGACAAGTATAAGAGTATAAACTGCTTCTCAATACTCCTACAAGTATAAGAGTATAAACTGCTTCTCAATACTCCGACAAGTATAAGAATATAAACTGCTTCTCAATACTCCGACAAGTATAAGAGTATAAACTGCTTCTCAATACTTCGACAAGTATAAGAGTATAAACTGCTTCTCAATCCTCCGACCGGTATAAGAGGTTAAACTTATTCCTGATACTCCAATTGGTATATGAGTCTAAACTGTTTCCTACCGTTGACGGAAAGTTCCTGGAGAATTTTTATATGTAATATTCTTAAGGATAACCCGATCATGTAACCGAATGCAATGATAAACCCAGTTTCGCGAAGAAGCTGGGGGTGGATGATTCATATAACAGGAAGTTCCCGAAAGAATACTATATGTAATTTTCTTAAGGATAACCCGATCATTACAAACAAAGTGATAAACACTAAACCCCCACTATGATTTCCGAACACTCTTTTGCTGAGACGAGATTCGATCACTTCGTTGGATCAATCTTTCCTCACAAAATTCCCATTGGTGTTTGAAAACTCACAGTCTTCCACCACAAAATCCCCCACTGATCAGACTAATTGACAGTGGGACCACCAAAATTCCTTCGGTTGAATCCACTCAAACACTCGTTACGTCTGTGCACTCAACACTCCCATTGTTAGAGTCTGGACATAATACTTAGTATTTTGATATCCTGATCATTGACAATCGTTAAACCCCTCCGCGTTAAGTATTTATTACTTAACACCAGGAACCCCCTCTGAGTGACTTGTACAAGTCAACACTCCCATTGTAATTTGTACTCTCACTCCCACTTGGTCAAACCTTCCTACAGTTAGGGCCACAACCAAAATCCACTCTCGATTCCTCCAATGAATGAGAGGTCCACTTTCAATTCGAGCAATCAAACCTATAAAAGTTAGAATTGTCT